GAAAGGATTTTGTCTAAGTCATTGTCAAGTAGTGGTAGTTTGGGTGGGTGGTAACAGGACACCGCCGCAACGTCTCCATGCCGTAGCGATCTCACCGCTATCGCCACGGCCTCTGTGTTTTGAGTTTGGAGCCGCTGCAGCGGATAGTGGTCGATGCACTTCTTTACTATGAGTGCACTATGGCAAAGTTTGGGTGGTTTTGCTATGGTTGCATTAGAAGTTAAAACTGTAATCTCATAAGCCTTACATATTTCCTGTAAGAAGGAATACAAATCCTCAAATTTAGGTATTGTTGACCCGCCAATTTTTATTTCGAAATCATTTCTCGTTTTGATGTCTAATTTCTGAAGTAATAGATTTAATTTTGTAAAATCCCACATGTCTACTTCAACGCAGAAGCTGCGTTCCCACTGAAAGATTCTACATTGAAAATGCCTTGCCAATAACGCGTTAATAAGACTCGTTTGTCTTGATATCTATCTACTAATGATTTAAAAGAAATTTCATAATTATCACTTGTAGTCGGTAACTTCCTTACAATGGTTAATGGTTCACCAGATAAATAAGAAATCAAATACTGAAAACGTTCGATATTTGACAAAATAACATTATCATGAATAAGTCTCTTATACGAGTATGTATCATAAAAGACCGGCCACTTGTTTATATCCCCGTCAAATTTTGGTACCTCGATTTTAGGCAGTTTGACCTTGAAACACGATTCTGAATTATTTCGAACAGAATGTAAAGATACAACAGAACCCCTGTCTGAACTAACAGAGCTGCGATTGCTAGGTGGGAAAAGATCACGATAAATACCCTCTATTGAGTAATGCACGTCGTCAAATTCCCGTTGAATTTCATCCTGAATTTTCAAGTTTTCAGGGTCCACCATCGACACCATGTCCATCTGCAAAGCTTCAAATTTTGTCACGAGTTCACGCATACCTTGATATCTAAATTTGAAGTCAGTAACTTTTTCTGAATCAACACAAGCCGTCTGACCTAACTTGAATAGATCCTTGACGCGAGTAAACACGTAGTGTCGTTTATTTTCAATTATTGCTTGCATAGTAGCCATTTTTGAGAATCGGACGCGGTTGACAAAATCACGAATGTAATAAAAACAGAATAGGCATTCCTATATTTGTGAAAACCCGATTGTAACACGAATCTGAATAGTACACAACATTTTTGAAAACACGAAAAACACGATTATAACACGAATTTGAATTGTACACAACGTTTTTGAAAACACGAAAAACACGATTGTAACACGAATTTGAATTTTTGAATAATCCACAATGTTTGTAACACGAAAAACACGATTCTAACACGAAATATTCCACAATGTTTGTAAAATACGAAAAACACGATTCTAACACGAAACTGAATAATCCACAACTTGAAATATTTGTTATTATTGACAACGTCGCAATACCGAACTATAAGAAAAAATGTGGAATGTATGAACACAACACGGACACGTGCGGCGAGCGCTGACCTTGAAATCGCCGGCTTGGTTTTGTACAAATGCAATGTATTTGTATATTGAATGTATATTGTATATTGTATTGTATATTGTATGTATATTGAAAATTCACGAAAATTTACAATTTGATTCTTGTGTGGGTGGACTGTATTATTTTAAGAGCTTTTCTAATCCGGCTCGAAGGACCAAATGAATAAACTAGGGAAAAAGATGTTTGAAAAAATGTACTAAGAGTTTTGCGGCGACTTTGTTGCCCTTACCTTTGAGGGTTTCACTATGTTGGCTCACTCGCTTGCAGCAGGAACTAGCACCCTTGCATCAATTTTTTGTATCACTTATATGTACCATATACACATTAGTCCAAATTTGAGATCTCAGTTGCGTATAGTTGCGTACTGTCTTGGTCAAAGCTTTTTCACATACACACACCCTTTTAAAGTTGAATGTCGACTCTTCTCCCCCCTCATCGAGTCTTTTTCCCCACCCTCGGTTAGAGGACAAGGACAACATGAAATTAAATCGCGGAACGCGCGGTGATTTAAATAAAAAATAAATTAAGAGAGAAACGCAAACATTNATCATATTTTTTATTTTGGCCAGCATTATATAAATAACAAATTTAAATAAATAAAAATAAACTGAACATAGGTGCATAGGGCTAACAGACACGAATATATTCAGCTGTATTTTCAAATGTTTGTGCGCTATTATATTGATAATCGCTTAAAAGTATCATCCCTCGCCCTACGTATAAGTTGCAAGATTTAGTTTTTGTATAAATTTGATACAATCTGCCAACTAGCAGTTATTAATATTAGTTGTAGGGAAGGGGTATAAAATAACTAGATATTAACTTTATAATTATATATGATGAATTATGATAGAAAATTACATTTTCAATTCCCTTAATTGAAGACTTTTTAATTCATCACTGCGGGAATCTCGGCGATAATTGCCAGATGGTTATTGATAGCTAATAAATATTATTCCATTACATATTTTTAATAGAACAAGACAAAGAACATACAGAATGATTGTCGTTTCGGTTGCAGAGTTGTATGTGCATATACTGTCACTACACATATAGCTAAGATACCATACACGCGATATACAGAGCCACAGAGAATTATTTATATCCGATACAATTTTTTTCTAAATTTTGATCTGATTATAGCGGGAAAATCAACTTGACCTGTTGTAAATTATCTCAATGTCTTTTCGTTTGACTATAGTTATGTTTGGGCGATGCCTGTTTTTCCATTATTTTTAAGGTGTTGTTAGGTTCATATATTTCATATGAAAACGATGTGTTAAAATTAAACATCTAATATAAAATATTCCTCTGGGGCTTTGTCAATTACAGATACATATTTTTTAATTATTAAAGCCTACAAACACTTCTTAAATTTAAGCAAATCTTAGAGTACATTCTTTATAAACCTTAAACCTTTTTTGAGATAGAAATATGTCTTGTATTGTATATTATAAAAGAAAAACGTCGCAAGTGTATTTAAAATTTTATGTCTCAGGAACACTAAATCTGCAATGATTGAAATGGCCGACTAATAAAAAACAATTATGTCAACGTCACAGGGTACACGGGCTTTGGTACATAAATACTTGTAATACCCTCCTCGGCCTCCTCTACATTGTGTGCATTACTTATTTGTCGAGCACATTAATAGTCCATTTAACGATTTTCCTTGTTTGTTGATCTGTATATATTATACCTTTCTCTAGTCAAACAATTATCGATTATATGCAGTTTTTTTAAGAAATTTTACATTTTCATGAAGGTGAGCTAAATAGTTAAAATACTTACCTGAAATCTTGGTAAACAGGATTATGGCCATACTTTGACACTCAATTATCTAAAAATAATTGTCAACGTATATATAGTTCGACGTAACGTAGGTAGGTATCCAATTATTCTGCTGCCCCCTGTATCTTTACATTAATTATAAATAATCAAGCGACGGATATATGTTAATTATGATCGAGCGAAATGAATTAATTGTCTAATGTTTATTTTACCTTACCCCAGTCTCAAGTTCCATAACTCGTTTGTACCTACCTGCCGATCGGGGCCGAGCGACCCCCCGATCGCACACTACCGAAGGCCACAAGCGGGCGTCCCGACGCCCGGCGTCTCGGGCGTCCGTCTGGCTCTACTGCCGCCATACCTACTGTTATATTTTATTATCTTTTTTTAATATTTTCTATATCTCGTAGCCTTTTATGCAGACACGCCAATGGATTTTCGTTCCCGGCACGCTTCATCCCCCTTACTAGTCCAAAAGCTAGCGATTAGTCACTCACTATAATTTTGGCCGTGGAGTATAGTTTAAAGCATCATTCCCTATGCGGAATGAAAGGAACTAGTTCCTCAGTTATTTCAAGTTTAATTCACAATGAACTATAGTTCACCGTAAACTACATCATGCGATGCATCATTTGAGAACTAAAAGTTCGATAAGAAAGCAAAGTGTAATTATTGTAAACAAAGTTTGTCAATATCTGGTGGTTCTTTGGGCAATTTAAATAGGCATATGAAGAGGGTGCATCCTACAATTCCAATTAAAAGATCTGCGGAGCTTTCTACTGCAGTTTTACATGCTAAATCAACTGTACTGGTAAATCCCGAGGCAGTAATGCAGGGAGGTAAGGTATTCAGGATGTTTTAAAAACAGTTAGTAAAAAATATAATTTGTAGAGCCTGGTCCAAGCAGTAGCAGTAATCAATTAAAAAAAATTTAACCATCTCCAATGCAGACAGATATATCGACATTCTTACAAAATACTAAGCTCATACCAATATCTAAGAGTAAGGAACTAGACAATAAGTTATTACGAATGATCGTAAAAAGGTATTACCCTTTTTCGTTAGTGGAAATTCCGGAATTTATAAAACTGATGAAAATAGCAATACCAGGTTATAAAATACCATCCAGAAAAACATTAAGTGAAGGACTAATGTTTCAAATTTATGAAAAAACGAGAGAAAATTCAAGCTGACCTCAATTCTGTAGATTTTATTAGTGCCACTACTGATTCTTGGACGTCAATAACTAATGTAAATTTTATTGCTTTAACGGTTCATTATTTATTGGAGGAAAAACAGTCTTAAAATCTCACTTGATAGACTGTTTTTCTTATGGTAATAAACATACTGCAGACAATTTAAAAGAATTACTAATATCAAAATTTAAAGAATTTCAAATAGAAAATAAAATTGCTTGTATTGTTAAAGCCATAGTAACATTTTTTAAACAAAGTTCATCAGCTCTTTCAAAGTTAAAACAAATTCAAAAGCAGATGGGTTATCAGAATTAAAATTGAAACAGGATGTAGTGACCCGCTGGAATTCCAGTACAATATATGCTGGAGAATGGCTTGTTTTGGAAAACCTAATAGGCATATTAAAAATTTTTGAAGACATTTTATGCACTAATTTCCTAGTGCAGAAAAAAATTTTACTATTTCAAAAATTTTAATATTTGTACACACAATGTACCAGCATAATCAAACTCATTACACTCAAGTCACAGAACCAGAATTAAAAGCTGTTCTAGAAGTTTTTCGGGAAAATTTCTTTAAAAGATTTGGTGCGATCAAGCGAAAATACAATATTACTGTAACTATGTTACGAAGGAAACTGACCTCGTTTTATACCATTCCTAGTACTTCTACTGAAATTGAAAATGTGGAACAACCTCAACCAGCACAACCAACAGTCTTCAGAACCGTCAGCATCGATGTGGTCAATTTTTGACAACACTGTAAGCAATTTTATTCAAGAAAAAAATTCGACGGCGGCTGTTACAATAGAATTTGATTGTTACTTAGGCGAACCTCTAATTAATCATAATGACAATCCATTAGAATGGTGGTTTGAACGGCGTCATGTATATCCAACCTTACATCAATTTTTAAAAAAACGTCTGTGTATTCCTGATACGTCAGTTCCCTGCGAAAGAATATTTTCTAAAGCTGGTCAAATTATAACGGAAAAACTTTTGCTGTTGAAATCCAGAAAAGTGTCCCAAATATTGTTTTTAAACAGCAATTTTTAATTACTTTCTTTTAATTCACTAAATATTTTACTTCATATTAAATATAGATATGCACATGTATAAATACTATACCTCTGTATTGGGTGGTAATACTTTTTGTTTTGTTACACATGCATCTAATAAAAATATTTTTTATTCTTATATATAAAAGGAACCTGCTTATTTCTACTTCCTATCCTTTAAAGCAATATTTGTTTGTTTACAATATAAATCAAACACATTGAACATTCTCTGACCGAAGTTCACAGGAATAAATTGCGAATGTGAACTAAAGGAACTAGTTCCGTGAACTATTCACTTTGGTGAACGAGACCGAGTGAATTAATTCCTTCAAAAGAACTAGAATTTCCACCTCTATTTTGTACTGCAGTTTTGTATTCAAGTGACCCCATAGAAAATAATCCAAAAAATTCAAATCTGGTGATCTGGGAGGCCTCTTCCTATCCAATGGTTAGGGTAATTCTCGTTCAGAAATTGACACGCAACCAAATTTAAGGTGTGGCGGTGCTTCATTGTGCATCCACCACAACTTGTTTTTGGTTTCTAAATAAACTTCTCCTAAATGTTCAGGAAGCTCATGCTCCAAAATCCTTTGGTACTATTCACTAGTAAGTTTTTGTGGAAGAATGCAAGGTCCAATAAAGCGGTCACTGATAAGTCTAACACAAATATTTAGAGAAAATTGTGTTTGAAAATGATTTTCCATGATAGCATTGAAAAGAAATCCGGAAATCTACTCTGAGGGGGAAATCTTTACGTAATAGAGCCCGTACACGTTGCATGGGATAAGGATAAAGTTGTTGATATCTTAAAATTTGCCACACAATTGTGTGTGTAATTCTAACTAATTTGCGAGTCTTCTTCAATTGTATTAACATAGCTTCTTCAATCTTAAATGTTCGAACTGTCGCAGCCCTTCCAGGGATATCTGTTCTCCTTTCCAAGAACCAAGTTGTTGCGGACGTATGTTCGTATGAATTGTTTATCTTAAAATTGGTCACAGATTCACCCTTTAAAGTTTGTACAAGTTCTTAATAAACACCCTGTGTATCTCCAAATATATGGAGTCTACTTTAGATGATGAGTACAATAACAGGGTAATTTGCTGACAAAGTATTTTATCAGGAAAAACAATTTTATTAACAATTGAATTGCAAAAATTCTCTTTTTTAGTTGTTTTCTTTAAATAACTCAGCGGGCTGACTTTGTATGAAAAAATGCTTAAGACATGTTCGTAATAAAAATAGCTACAAAATGGCTGCGATCCGGTTACAAAATTTGCAATAACAAAGCCGTGAGATTGAATAAATGGTATAAAACATCAATTTTTTAAAGTTGCTGTAAAAATGTCAATTATAAACAAAAAGTGATAAAACTTTCGAAAACTATAGTTCAATATATATACAATAATGACACTAAACTCGAAAATCAGGATTACCAATTTGAAGTAAAACTAATTTATGTTTTAAAATAATTATTGCTCTTTTATAAAATCTACCTAATAAAAAAATAAATAAAAATACTTAATAGATTTGAAATATTTTGAAAAATCATGGCAGTTTTATTAAAAAGTATTTACTACCATTTTTTAAAGCACTGTTTAGTTTGTAAATCTCAGTGTCGATGACCTCCAAGTTTAAGGTGTAAAAACTTTTCAGGAAAATAAGCTTATGATGTGTAATTCTGAAAGTCAAAGGTAGCCACCGTATAAATATGGCCTCCATTCAAAGCTACACTCTGTATAGGAATAAATGTTGCAAAAATTGAGCAAAAATCACTGAGACTTTTTTTCGAATTCCAGTATACATTTTCACAATTTAATTTTAAGGCTTTATTTTGGGCAGTCAGTAATAACCAACAAGCTGTTGCCAGGTATTTGTTGGAAGAAGGTTTCGAATACACAAATTGCGATGTTCGAAATAATACACCTCTTGATATTGCAAAAAGTTGCGACTTTACAGAAATCATTGAACTATTTCCCAAAGAAGAAAATGATATTATATCGAGCATCATTGTTTCCCATTCCTACAGCTTTGAGGAAATTTTTTCCAATTTAAAAAAAGGCGAAAAGTATGTATTAATTTAATATTCGCACTGTTAATTTTAATAACAAATATTTTGTGTTTCTCAGGCCAAAATTCTTTCTAGATATTTGTAACATTTTATGTGGCGTGAAAGCTGAATCTGTGATCAAAATTATATCGGACAAAAATATTGACTTGTATAGTTTTATGTCAACATCCGACAAAGAGTTAAAAGAATTGGGCATCAATTTACCTTATCAAAGGAATCGTATATTAGGTGGACTCTATAGATTCCACAAACAACCGTTTCATCCAAAATCATTGTATTCTGTACCGTTAAAGGAAGTATACAGGTAAATATTTTGTGACAGGGGTAAACATTTGTTTTATTTGAATTGTTTTAGTAATGTCGATATGGCTGTTCAGCTGTTGTCAACAATTAAACAAGTCATAGCCATGGAAGCTAGTTTGACATATATAATGAAACATTACAAAAATCAGCCTGTTTCTAAAGGAGGGTTACCTTTAATGGCAAAAAATATTCGAACGATAAAGACGAAAATAGCCAGTTGCAAAGTGACATTAAATAAGTTGAAAGGGAAAACTAAAGGGGTATGTATTCTTTATTTCATAATCACGATCATCATATGTCTTTAACACTAATTACAGTCGAACTTCGATAACTCGAACTTATCAAGTTTGGGTTTTCAAGACTTTGAGTTATTGGATTATACAGACTGTTACAAATTTGCTTCTCACTATAGGGATCTCCAAAACGGTAAGAGATACAAACTAGCTTAAATGGGGGCAAAGTTGCTAAAAATCAAGGCTAACATGATCAGTTTTCGAAATATTTGAAAAAAAACGAAATTTTGGAAATCCGATTTTATTTCATTTTAGTCTTATTTGAGGTGATATTGAAAAAATAAGAACACTTTCTCATGGCTACTTTTTGCCCTCTATCGAATGGTATAATCAATTTTTACATGTAACGTTTCGTCTCTCCAGGACCATCATCAACTTCATTTTTTTTAGTCATATTGACCCTAGAAATTTTATTACATTTTTTGCAAGCCTTCATGACCCCCAATACTGTACTGCCTCAGCCTGAACCTGATTCAGACGTTTAGTCTTGAAACATTCATCTTCAGAGTGTATTCGTTCCAAATTTATCTACATTTTTTATTTAGATTTCTTTGTTTATTGAACACTGTAAGTGTCGTTAGACCCTGTGAAATCCATCTAGAACTATTACCACCATGCATTAAAATAAAAAATTATTAGAGTTTTTATTCCCGTGTCCATAGTTATTTCTAAGCTTCTCGAGTGCTCACAATTTAAACAAATTCCAATCTATTTTTTTCAGGATATTCATACAAATACATCTGACATGCTCTTTCACAGTTGCTTTTACAGATATAATAAATTCCGTTAATATTACGCTGATCTTCATTTTCAACCTTTGCCAAAACGAAAATGTTTTTGAACATTTACTGAAATTTTTTAAAGAATAATAATTCAGTTGGCGTTTTGATTGTTCATATGCATTTTTAAGAATTAATTTGTTATAATAAAATTAAAATTGTAATAATGTTTTAATTTTGACGCAACAACTTATTGAGTTATGTATGACCAAGTGATGGTAATAGTTAATAATAATAGATGTTTTATTATAATGCGTGGTGGTAATGGTTTAAATAACTAGATGGATTTCACAGGGTTTTAACGACACTTAACGGTGTACGATAATTCAATAAACAAAGAAATCTAAATAAAAAATTCGGATAAATTTGGAACGAATACACTGAAGATGAATTTTTCGAGACAAAACGTATTGTGGATCATGAAGGCTCGCAAAAAATGTAATAAAATTTCTAGGGCCGTATTTAAAAAAATGAAGTTGATGATGGTCCTAGAGAGACGAAAGGTTACATAAAAAAATTGATTATGCCATTCGATAGAGGGCAAAAAGTGTGTTCTTCTTTTTTCAACATCACCACAAACAAGGGTTAAATGAAACAAAAACGGAATTCCAAAATTTCGTGTTTTTTTCAAATATTTCGAAAACTAATCATATTAGCCTTGATTTTTTAGAGGCATAATGTTGGTCCCTTGATTACGCAACTTTGCCACCATTTTAATTACTTTGTACTAGTGATGTAACGAATGCCAGTTTTTAAGCATTCGCGAATGCGAATTTCTGTTGTTGACATTCACGAATGCGAATGCAAATGCAAATACGAATATTCAGTTTTTATATCTAGCGCCGTTTATTTATGATTCAAAATATGCCGCGCGCGACGCACATAATATTTCCAGTGACAGCGGCGCTAGAGGCTAAAGAAATTAGCGTTGTTAAGTTGTAGAACGGTATGATTGGAATTTTGTTTTAGCTACCGGTTCGCATGAGTTTGTGAATTGTGATGTTAGACTGTTGTTACTAGTTATTTCTTAACATGAGTAAATCAACTTCTAGTGAAATATGGACTTATTTACCTAATATTGTTTTCACATTCTGTATTTTTCTTTCACGTTCATATTCGCAAAATATTCAAAGATATTTGCAAATGCAAATGCGACTGCGAATATCATAAATCAAACGAATATTCGCGAATGCGAATGCGGATATTCGTTACATCACTACTTTGTACCTCTTACCGTTTCCGAAATGCCTGTAGTGAGAAGTGAATTTGTAACAGCCTGTACAGTCAAATAGAGGTAGGTATGTGTATTAGGGTACGATTTTGGAAATTTTTAAAAATCTTGAACCTCTAAAAAATTTTTTTTTAACTGATTTTTTAAGGGGGCTCTTAAAACATGATAAACTAACATATTTTCACAAGAGACAAGAAAAAAAAATATTCGTTTTTTTTTTGGGACACCTAGTATTTAGTTTGTACATGCAGGTACAGTAATTAGTATGTACATGCAGGTACACTATTGGATGTAAAAAATGCATTTTTGACTTTGTCTGAAGTTGATATAAAAAATGAATGCTGCTGTCATTCAATTATTTGGTTTTGGGTTTGACAGTTCAATTTTGTTGTTATACAGTTTTTGTCTTAAGTGTGCTAATTTTAAGCGGACAAAAGTAAAGCAACAGTTATTAATTTTATTTATTATTTTCGATATTTGTTCTTCTTTAATGTTTAAGTGAATAATCGTTAATCCTGCAATATTTATAAGTTTCCTCAAAATGCCTAAAGGTATTACTATCAGTACTGACTTTAAGCAAAGAGTATTAAATGTGTTGTCCAAGTTTCAAGAAAGATTACACTTAAATAATACTCCTAAAAAAACATCAGTAAGTGACGACAGATTGATTAAACACATTTGTTGCATGGTCCCAGAATTATGGCGGATATTGGCCGGCCAAAAAATCTTTAATTTCTGCAAGGAATAGAGCTGCCAGGCTAGAGTTTGCCAAAGGTCATTTGACTTTGACTGAAAATGACTGAAAAAAAGTATTATTTAGCGATGAAACATGTTACAATATTTTCAATTCTGGTAGTATGCATCGCGTAAGAAGACCCGTAAATCAGAGATTCAATCCTGCTTATGTAACTACAACTGTTAAGCATGGCAGTGGAGCTGTACTTTTATGGGGATGTTTTTCCTTAAAAGAAATAGGTCCTATCCATTTCATTGATGGAATTATGGGTCATTTTGTGTATAGAGATATCCTACAAAATGTTATGATGCCATATGCAGAGTGGGAAATACCTCTGAGATTCATATTTCAACAGGATAATGATCCTAAATACATATACCTCGCAGCTTGTGATAGATTGGTTTCGTGGCAATAATGTACAAGTTTTGGATTGGCCATCACAATCAGCTTACTTAAATCCCATTGAGTACTTGTGGGAAGAAGTAGAAAGGAGAATAGGGATAGAAACATTCAGAAACAAAGAAGCTTTACGGAATAAAATAATTGAAATTTGGCAAACTATACCAGAAAACGTTATTCAAAAGTTGATCTTGTCCATACCTAGAAGGTGTGCAAAAGTTATTGCAAATAATGGTTATGCAATCAACTATAAATAATTAAGTCTTAAGTTGGGATTATTTAGTTATTGTTAACAGATTTGTCAGATTTTTTCTTAATTAAATAATGTTGTTTTATTTTTGTCCTATTTATAACCCAGTACCTAATGACATTGAGGATAATTTTTTCTGTTTTACATTTCAGATTTACGAACCATTCGGATAAAAGTTTATTTCTTGTCATCTCCCAATTTTAAATTGATAAAAAAATTAAAAATGCAAAATTAGCAGTTTGTTGCTTTACTTTTATCCAGTATTGTACATATTTACATATTTGAGAAAAAAAAATATTTCACATATTGTTACAATTTATTTCAATAATAGGCACTAATACATATATCGTACATACAGGGTGATTCAGAACTTATCAAAAAAAATTTTGGACGTACAGGGGACTCACAAAGACAATTTTGTAAAGAAAAAAATCAAAAAAAGCAGTTCGAAAATGATTTAAAAATACTCTTCTGCACGGCACTGGAAACTGGACCACTGTAAAACCTAACCTTGCACAATGCGACCAGCATGGCGGCAAAGTGGTAAAAACGGACAGAATTTTATAGCATCTATTTTATATCAGCAAATTCAATTGCTTTTGCCATTATTGTTATTATTAATAAATAAAATTAATTTGTGGTTTTAAATAATAAAATAATTTGACATACCTGATATTACAACAACTGTTTAAAATTTTATCCACCAACGTGTAAAAACATTTGGCCCGTCTTACACAGTTTCTACGAAGTAACACAAATGTTGTTACCATAACACAATTGCTTCACCATAATACAAATGTTTTCTTGCTTCACCATAAATGATATCCATCAACACCGAGTTGTTATACACGCAAGCCATTTTTGACACTTACTAAAAAACTATTGTAAACACCACAAATAACAGGTAAACAATATCACAATGATGATTGTAAAATCGGATTTCACTATTTGGAGTCGCTGAGGCCACGTGGCTCTCCACGCGTATTGCGAATGACGCTTGAGACTACAGTTGTCCAGCTTTGTAATGGTTGAATGTATTACAACTTCAATAATTTTTTTCTTGGTAACTATAAGGATACAAAAATTTTTTTTACGATGTTGAAAGAATTTTCAACCAAATCGTTCAGAGATCGCTGTTACACAGCATTATCTATTGATTGTTCATCAGCACTATCCTTAATATCCTCATCTGTGGCAAACTCCGACATAATAGTATCATCATCTACGTGCATATAATCATCAAAAGATACAGTATCTGACGTATTTTGTAAATTTGCCCAAGCCTCATATTTAGATTGCAGTTGTACTTCACCTTCACTTCTATCGTCCAAAAGTTCACGTACGAAAATTAATGGAATTTCATCTCCTTCCTCCCATTCAGTATATTGACCAAATCCCGGTTTTTTTAAACAATTAGCAATTGTCTCAGACTTGATGTCGATATTCCATGCTTTTATTACATCGTCAACACAGGCCATTAATTAATTAATTTACTTATGTTATTGTTTTTATTCTCTTCTATACCCGTGTTTCATAATAATGGGCAGTGATTCATATCCAGTACTTAGACGAGGAAGGGAGATAAGGGGAAGCATTTTTCCTAAACTGTAATCTTTGTCGGATGTCTTTAGGATGTGCCGGACAATTGTCTATGAATAGATTAATTTATCTTTTGGTAGCTCCAAACTGTTTATCTAAGAGCCCTTCTTCAAAAAGCGCCCCTGTCGTCTATGCTTTTGAATTTACTTTATAGTCAAGAGGCAACCACTTAACACCTTGAAAACAGCGAGGTTGATTACTTTTGCCTATCAAACGCATTTTTAATTTATCTGATCCATCCATGTTTACGGCAGCGTCAGTGATTGATAATTTTTTTTATTCGTAGAGACTATTTGGAGAAACGCCATACTTGCTCACATCCTCCTTTCTTGCTCCGTTTTCCAATTCTTTTGTAAGTTTAAATTCATCTGCAATTGTTAAAGTCTTTAACATATATTTTAGGGCCATGTTATTAACTAACTTCAAAAAAAATATTACGAATTACACTTTTGTAGTAACAAAGCATGCACACTATGTAGCTGCAGAAAACAAACTGCAGACAAGCGAAAGAAGATTAAGTTGTGAAATGCGATATAAAAGGTGCCAAATTTCCTCAATAATCTGAAACATTATTTAAAATCTAAATTTTTACCACTCTTTTAATTTTTTAAAACGTGACATGGGTAAAATAAAAATACGTACATAAAAAAATGTTATGGCAGGTGGTGGTACAGTGAATGAAGTGTAGTGCGAAAGTGCATTGACTAAAATGGGCAGTACATAACATATGTAGACGGTGACTGCATTTGGTCAATTTTATGTTGTTTGTTATTTTAAGTTTTGTCTTAAAGGACTCTTTAGTACCTTCAGGAGCGTCGATTGCATTACATATGTAATTAATAGCAATAAATTTCAAATTGTTCTTATAGGTACAGCAATAATACATATTAAAATTATGTTTCCCTTCAAGAATTCGACTTATCGAAGTTGGCACCAATTATTATGCTCGAGTTATCAAGAAATTCTAGTAATAGTAGTTCGAGTTATTAGTAAAAATAACCTTAAATTCTCACTGCTAATGCTGTTGCCAACCAATTTTGTTCGACATCAAAAATTCGAGTTGTCAAAGTTCGAGTTTGACTACTTGGTTTTGCATGTTTTCTTTTATTTTCAGCTGGATAATGAAGTTCAGCCTGTAGATCTAATTACATCACGTTCCAAGACGAATTTCTTACCTTGGAGGAAGATCATATTTTCGTTTTCAGTCCTTTCTTTAGTATTGGTATGTAAAATTATGAAGTGAATTTATGTTATACTTTTTTCAAATAAGAAGAATAATAAGTTAAATTTTATTATTAATAGTGTATTTTTATTGGTTTATAGTTTACTTTACATACATTTTTTTTATTTAATTGTAAATATTTCATTTGATTTTTGGTTTTTTACCATAAATTTTAACAACTTACGAAACGAGCAGTTCACTTGATGCCTAGTGACTGAACCGAATGAGCTTTTTGGTGCTCACATGTTACAGGGTTATGTGTGTAATATATACCTTGTTAAGGGGTTATGTGCAGCCAGAGGTGTGAAAAAATAGGCATTTTCAAGAACTTTTTTGCAGGGTTGTATAGTGTTTTTTTGTTTATTACATAAGTTCTTACACTATATTTTAAGTAACTTTCAGAAAAATTAAAAAATATAGTTTTGGATGAAGTTATCAGCTCTTACAAAAAAAATGTTAGTTCAATAGTTTATCTTGCGCCTGATAGAAGGCTTTACTTTAGTTTTTCAAATTTCGCAAAATGGCAACTTCTAGAATTTCGTTTTATGAATTTTGAGGGCAAAATCGCTAATCAATTGTTTATAAAAAAATATAAGTTTTGGTTAAAAAAAATCCTTCAATCAGGCACAAGAATGTGCCGTATGAATTTCATCTAAATCCGTCGGGTGGTTTTTAATAGTGGCCACTATATTTGAAAACGTTATTTTGAGGAAAGCGTTTAAAGTTTGTTTAAATGTTTTTTAAATATTGTACTTTGAGGAAGTTCTAGAAAAAACATTTTTTTTAAACCCTTAATAGATATGTGGCAAAATATATAGGATGTCCGGACAGACTTCTTGACTCAAAATAAGTAGATAGAGCCCAATTTACCTATTTCCAAAATTGCTCAGATTACCCTCTAGAGGACGACTTATATATATTTCGAACAAGTACATGTGCTTTTGGTGTAGGGGTTTAGTCAAAACAATGGCCGTGAAAGTGCTAGAGTATACAGAGAAAGATTTCCTTATCAAATTTTTGCCAAAATTGAAAGGTGACTTCGCATTTTTCAACGAAGGATTATGGGTCAAGGGTGTCAGCATACCACGAGAACTCTACGAGGTGGAGGAACAAATTCTAAATAAAATTGAAGAGAACGCAAAAATTAGTACGAGATGCATTGGTCACGAAATAGGGAGTACCGAAAACCACCGTTTACGAAAGAGCAGCTACTACATAGTAAGTCAAAAAAAATCATTACCTAGTTTTAAGAAAACCAAATCGAAATCACATTTTAGAACTCATCAGTTATCGAGAAACTAATTTTGGTTTGTACAAATTTTACAAAGGAAGATTAGTTCATTGCGATTACTGTAAAAATCAAAATTTTAGATTTAGATATCACATTGTTTCCAAGAAATAAACATTCTTAGTTTATATCTTGCTGAAATTCGATATTAGTACTTAATCATATCTCATTGCAACGCTCACACATTTAACATCTAAACAAGGGTTTTAATTTTCAACGTTATTCTTAAGAAATTATTTTATATTCTGAGTACAGAATGTTTTCTATCCAACGACCATACTCTAAAAGATCTTTAAAATTTATTTTCATATTGTAATAAACTTTATTTATTTTATTAAAATTTTGGTTATTTGATAGTATACCAAACATTAATTTTAAGAAAATATTGACATAGTACAGTCATTGAAGCTTTTCACTTCCGAACTCTTTGAAACTGAACCGATCGACTTGAAATTTGGCAGATAGTTAGAGAAAAGGTCAAAGAACATTAGTGACATAGCGCCGATTGACGCTTCCACCCTGTTGGGGGTGGAAATTTTTTTTTCAAAAATAACGCTGGAAATCGATAAAATCAAATTTTGAGCAAAAAATATTCGAAGAATTTTTTCGAGAAATCAATAGTTTTTTAGTTATTCACGATTGAAAACTTGGAATTTTGAGTGAAAAAAAACCAGTTTTTTTAAAGTATTTTTCGCGAATAACTCAAAAACTACGCATTTTATTGAAAAAAGTGTAATGAACAAAAATGTAGCTTATAAATAAACAAAGACAATCGTTTTTTAAAAAGTGTTGTACGTCCTATCAAAGCGAAATATGGTTAGTGGAAGGGGACTTGTTTTGGGGAGAATACTCGAATCGATGTATTCAACGTCAAATAACGGAAAAAGGATTAATTTTACGTGTATAACGCTCCAGGAATTTTTTGTAGTACTCAAAAAGACCTTCAAAATAAGCACTTATAAATGTTAATTAGAGCAAAATTGAAGGAATTATCGTCAAAAACAGATGGGTTGCTCATATTTTTTAAGGAAAAATGAGCAGTAAATGCTATACCATTTCCATCAGAATTAAAGTTAATCGTAGATCCTTTACAATTAGTTTTGTTTTAGTGTTTTTCATACGATCTTAAAGTTAGACTGGTTTAGAATGCGTATTTTTTTTAATAATGTACGGTAAAAGTTGAAAACGTATTTTTCATTATTCAAAAAAAAAATTGACTTATTTATATAATAACTCTGAAACTATGGAAGACATGTAAAAAATGATAGACAAAATGTAGCTTTTTTTTCAACAAATATTTTGCTTTTTTTTATTCCTACAGCATAAAAACTAAAGGAGATATTGCCGCTTGAAGTATCTATTATAGTGAAAAAATTACCTGTCTCGAGCCCTTCGATCCTTTGCCTTTAAAAAACAAAGGATTTAAAAGTTTTATATGCAAACGATCTCACAGCTCTTGAAATTATCTTTAAAATGCTTTTTTGTAGGGTTGTATAGCTTCAAAATTAACCGAGTTATGGTAAAAAAATCAATGACATTTTTTCGGAGCAAAATAGGCTTTCTCATTTTTGGATTCGAGTACGCGTCAGCGTGTATAAACAATATAAGGGAATTTTTATTTTAAATTATTGCACAATTATAGCATTCCAAGATTTAAAACATATTTTTTTTTCATTTTTTTAGCACAGGGGTGATTTATAAGGGTTGAAAAGTGATATGAGATACAAATTCTTTCATAAGCAATGAGGGAATTTTTATTTTAAATAATTGCACCGTTAAAGCATTCCAAGCTTTTAAAAAGTAATTTTTTATCATTTTTGTCAATGCAGGGGTGGTTTTTAGGGGTTGAAAGGCAAAAATCTTTTATTATCTATAAGGTAACTTTTATTTTAAATAATTGCACGATTTAATCATTCCAAATCTTTAAATAGTAATTTTTTATAATTATTTTTTTGCATAGGGGTAGTTTTTAAGGGTTAAATAAAGGATAAAAAAGATTATCATAAAACATGTTAGAGAACATGGAACATTATTTATTCTTTGTGCTTGAACAAGATTTTTATCAATAAAATGATTAAAACTTAATTTTTTCAATTTTTTTTCACTTAGGAGTAGTTTTAAAAAACAAAAAACGTCAATTGGGCTTATGTCATTTTTGAACTTGAGTCTAAGATGAGCCTTATTCTAAATTTTCATGCAAATCCATGCAGTTTCAAAGAATTCGGAGGTTACAGCTGATTTTCAGCTTCAATGACTGTACTAACAATATTATATTTAAAACTGGAAGAACTGACCGATATTCACACTAAATATTGATATCTCAGGAATTGTAAATAAAACATATAAAATGGATCACAGTATTTATAGAATTTATGTAGAAAATATTCCTCTATTTAGTGGTGAAGACCATATTTTACCATCATTTATAAGAGCCAGTGAATAATTAATTATTGCTTTTCAAAATGCTCAGCAACCTGAAAATCCAGTAAATAAACTAATTATTAGTACCATTGTCAGTAAGCAGCCAAAATTATTTGTCCAAGCTTATTAATTTCAAAATTAAATTAAACCAAAGATTCTCCTCACACCAAAAATATAAAAACACTACATTTGGAAAAATTGACTTTAAAAACCTATCTCAACAATTTGCCTGAAAAAATCCAAATTATTGTGAAATGTAATAATCCAAATACAATCGAATGTAAAATCATGTAAAATCGGAAGGAGATATCGAATTCAAATTGAGAACTCAAACCAGAATTTCACTTACAAATAGACAATCAATTAGACCGATATTTAATTCAAATCACACCTCAAGACCTCAATTTAACCCCAAAAACATTTTCAAGCAAATTCATTTGCATCATCTTACAGACCTATGAATAATGGAGATCACACTGCATAGTACACTGCGTAACTACTTATTATCATATTATATAACAATATTTTATTCGCCTATCATTTTAAGTTTTAAGTAGTAAATTAATATGTTTATTTTCAGCATGCCAATTGTATTGAAGTAACTTTATTTTACAAAGCAAAGTTTAAATTATTAATGCTGTATTATATTCAGTTAAAAATAACGCTTAAATGTCTGGCTACATGCGATAAGAAAACTAACGTTGCCTGCACACCCACATATACGATAGTTTTATCAACATCCTGTGGACTGTTTGAAGCAAAACGGTTAACAAAAGCCATTTCAGTTTAAAACGTTGACCAGGGATATAACAAATAAATTTGGTGATGTATATGAAAAAGGTGTGTGTAGTGAGTGCTACATACATAAAACGTAAGTTGCATGAAACGCTTGAAACAATTTATAAAAACCATAATATTAAAAAAGAAAAACAGCATTTATTACTAGAAAATATTCTTTAGCGAAAAAAGACAGCTACGATTCACTAGAAAGAAAAAATCTGTAAGCAAGCAAAAATCAAACCAAAAAATTCCTATAAAATAGCATCATTATTTTAATAACTGAAAAGACAAGCAAAAAAATGTATAAAAATTGAGGTATTAACAGTTGCAAAAACCAAGCCAAAAAAGTTTTGAAAAAATACCACCATTATTTCAACAGGAAAAAATCAATTCAAAACTCTAATAAAAACATAGCATTAGCTGTAAAATTTAAAAAAATGCTTCAAAATAAAAGTGAAACGGAAAAATATATATTAGCAGTAAATTCTAAGAATTATAAAAACAGGCATGAGGCCAAATTTTATAAATTAAAGATTTATTAAACATACAGGTAGCATCTTTTACATCAAAATTCACTTCAACAAAAATCGTAACCTACAGTAATAAGTGTTTATTAGTCATAAGTCAAATATTCTATTTAAAAAACCTGTAAAGAAAAAGTACAATAGCTTATTAGTCCAGTCGGTATCTGTATTAAAAGTAAGTAGTATGGATGTTTCATATAGCAACGCTAATTTTTGTTGGAAATAGTTCTAAATATTATGTAAAATGATAATTGCGATATGCTCTCGCTGAAAAAGTTGTGCAGAAATGTGCAAGAAAATGTAAAAAAATAAATAAAAAAGGCGCATTTTTCTCCCTTTTTTCATGTATAACTCGGAGAATATTGACGTTACAGAAAATAGTCAAAGGAAAAAAAAATTTGTTTCGAGATTCTCTTCAAAATAAAAGTGGTCCGAAATTTTTATGTGCATTATTGTTGCTGCAATACAGTGTAGACCGAAAAAAATTTGTGAAGATGTTTTTTTCATGAATTTATTTCAGACTTTGACTTTAGAGAGATTTTTTCATCGAAATTGGCCAGGTAGATTATTTTGAGCTCCAAATTTTTATCCATACCCTTTGGAGTCTCAACTATCAATCTCCATTTAAAAATTTTCATAATTTTATCCATTTTAGCAACAATTAGAATTATTTTAAAATTTCTTCGAAAAAGTACTTATAAACATTTAGAGGTGGAGCTACCGTATTTGCATATTCTTTAAATGTAATTATACGAGCAAATAGAGGAAGAATTGACGAACAAAATCCATTTTTGATCTTGTGGATACGATGAATCGTCATTCAGATATAAAAGCTCAAAGTTCAAGTGAGTTTATGACAAAACAACGTACTGTACAATAACAACCAAATGTGATTTTGATAGCTCAAAGCAAAAACTTTATAACTATGAAAATTTGTTTAAATCGGAAATGTATTTTAACTGTTCTGATGCAAAAAAGATTGATACATTTCACAGGAATTAAGTAGAGTCAAAAAATGAGTGATTCATTCGTGCAATTTCAATCAATTTTTTGTCAGCTTCTATAAATCTATATAAAACATCCATTCCGAAACAGATACCGACTGGACTATATAGTATGCCTTCAACTAGCTAGAGACATACAGGTCTTTATAAAAAAGGTGATTAAAAATTTATCAAAAAGTTACAAATTATTTGGTATGATCCGCATTACCACCAACCACAAGATGGCGGCCAAAAATCTAAAATATTTATTTTTATAGACACAAGATCAAGGTAGGCAATGCAAAACGACAGAGGCACAGAGACCAAAAGGGGAGATAGACACGGTAAGTTGCTTCGATTTCCTACATTTCAAAATATAAAAAGCGTGGCAAAATAAGGTATATTGTATATACTGAATGCTTGTTGAAGGGGTCAAAGTCCATTTTTGACAGCAAGGTTTTTCTTCTTCATAACGTATATAACACGAAGGCTGCTTATCCAAGAGCTTATTGCTCTCAAAGCTTTTGCTTTAAAGTAGAACTGAATTACTGTTTTTATTTTCGTGACTTGATAGGTATTCTTCTTATGTAGTGTAGTTATCCCCACTCCTAGACTTGCAGGGTTTTAACTATTAATAAAACACAAATTTAATTCATATTTATTTCCAACATTTTATTTACATCATTAATAAATATTTCAATCGGGGCATTTACAAGCTTAAAATCATTGTATCTACAAGTAATATTTCTTCGTTGATGCGGTTGAACAGGTTGATGCTGTTGGGGTTATACTCCAAATTTGCTATGACCTGCGCTCTAAAGATACTTGCTCTGAAGCCTTTTCAAAGATTACAGGAAACGTCTTCTACGAGTCCTGATTATTCCGGGTGGGGCATTTATCTAGTCACAAAATAATACCTCGGTTGGACTCGGTTATTTCGAAAAAAGTTTCAGACAAAAATTGTAGAGCACCAAGGGGGCCATTGAAAGATCCATATTACGACTTCCGGTCTAGACCAGAAGTGATGTTTTAGACCGAAAGTTGATTTTTTTAAATGGAAACACCCAATTTTTACTACGGACTTCGATTGAAAAACGAAAAATAAACATAACGGAGTACCTTGTTGGGATCACTTTTTTTTTTAAATGTTTCATACAAAAGTTGTAGAGTGAAAAGGGGGCCATCTTGACATGACCTTGAAAAGGATCTTGACCTTGACTGCAAGGTCGTTTGAGGATCAAATTCAAAATTTTAAATGGGACCCTCTTTTTTGACCTCAGAAATTACAAGAAAACTTCACAAGCAACGCAAGGGACATCCTTTGTGTTCAAACCACATTTGTTGTCCTTGAGCAAAAGCGGAAGTTGATTTTCCAAAAAATTACGATATGTTTCGCCGTTCAAATTGCCTTCAATGAAGTATGGACCCACAATCTTGTCACCAACTATTCCACACCAAACGTTCACGGACCATTGGCGCTGATGCTCAACTTCACATAATCAATGTGGATTTTCAATACTACAGTAGTGCATGTTAAGAGGACTCTGAAAATAGTACTTTAGTAAAGAAATTAGGATCTAATTGTATTTGTTGACGTGCCGATTGGTAAAAGATAACTCGGTTCTGAAAATCATTACCACGAAGTTCTTGGTGCAATGGACTGTGGTAGGGGGATATTTATAACTTTTAATATTCTGTTTACACTATGTCGCAAAATTCCAGAATTGCTTGCGATTTGTCAAATACTGACATGAGTGTTAACTTTACTGCAACTAATACAGCAATTTCATTGTCAGTTTCAATAACTACGTTTCGACGGGCTCCTTTTTCTCTTACACATTTCCCTCTTGTAGAAATTGTGTAACGACCCGATAAAAATATGCTCGAAATCGCACGTCAGCAAAACGTTCAGCATAAAGTGTAACAGCGTCATCAACACTCCTAGCACATTTACCATAATAAGAATCATCTCTATCTTTTCTTCCTCAGAAATAGCCGCAATTTTTAACAGAAAGTTTTACAAAGACAAAATTTGAAAAGATAAGCTGATAATCCAATAAAGTTGTACTCGGTTTATAGGGGGTCGCAAAAAAAAATCCATACAAGATGATTTTTTTAGGGCTACTTGGAGACTACCTCCTGAATATCCAACCAAAAGATCACACTCGAATTGGTACGACTTGCGCTATGGGGGTGATTTCCTAAACATTTTTTACATCAAAATGACCTTAATAAAAGTTGTAGAGGATCAAATTTTAACCAACTTTTCCATATAAAATTTTTTTGTATGTGTAATATTTGACGAGTTACTACGCATTACGTGACAAAAATTGGGCACGCCGCGCCACAGAGGTGGTCTTGTAAACATGTTTTTACAAAAAAATGGGCTTAATAAATGTTGTAGAGGATCAAATTCTGACCTACTTTTCCCTATAATTTTTTTTTTATCTAATACTACTAGTGCTGCTACAAATTTGGCTTTGCCAAAACCGAATGGAGTTGATGTGGTGTCGCATCCACAGAACGCTTGTATAAACATACGTTCAGCTATTATTAGAATTTCTTGAATAAATGAATGAAAACTAAATGAACTGATGCAGCCTGTCAGCTAACACATGACAGCCTAACACCGCTTGCCCCACTCCCACTACTGCCAACTCTTTGTAAAATTGTGTTTACAGCGTGCGCAATTTTTTTCATATAGTGTGCAGTAACTCGTTAAGTATTAGAAATATAAAAAAAATTGATCCTGTACAACTTTTATTAAGGCCATTTTGATGTAAAAAAAATGTTTAAAAAACCACCCTCATAGCACAAGTTGTACCAGGAATTCGAGTGTGATCTTTTGGTTAAATACTCAGGAGGTAGCAATCCTGTTTGGATTGCCCAAGCAATCCTGTTTGGATTTTTTTTTTAATTATATCTTTATTGGACTATGATTGAGCAAAAAATTAGGATAAATGAAATTGAGTTAATTCGCCTATTTCAATTTTAAAAATCACAAATTCAAAACGAACATGCAAACAAAAAATCAATTATGCCTTTTTAAAGTAAACCGTAGATCAATAAAGAAAATTTTTAATTCATAGAACCTGATCCATAAAACAGCATCTCATTTAAAGTAGGATTCTAATTATTTCCCCTTTAAGTTCCAGTCTTGAATATGTTCGAAGCATCATACATCTCTTAGACTCATCATTGTGAGGTTCTGTAAACTGATAAAAGAGGTGTTAAGCGTTAAGCAGCAAGCCTGAACACTTTGACTGTCAGATGAAGAATGAGTGCAGGTCTTGTAATGATATTTATGTTTTTTGTGTAGATCGATGCCTGAAGACGACAATAATCGGAGACGACTGCGCAGGCGCGTCTGAAGGCGTAGGTGGCAACACTGAACTCTGAAGGCATAGGTGACAACAGCTCCACCCGCCAAGCGCATCGAAAGACGAGAGGAGGATGATGCAATCGTCTGGAGATGAATACAGAAGGAGGATGGATGATGTGCTTGTAAGTTACTAAATTATTCCCATGTTATGTATGTAGCTTGTTAATGCCCCTACAGAGACGATGTTCTATGCTGAAATGAAGCTCTTCAATATAATAGCGTAAATCAATTACAAGTTCATTGGGGTCGTCTAGCATATCTCCGCTCTCTCTTTTAGTCCAACCAATAGGTAGAAGAGTTTACAAAAAATACTGCCTGGAACAAAAAAAATATGGTGATATAGTAAAAAAAAATCTAAGATAGTGTTTTTCCCCGTGACGCATAAAAGCGAAGTTAAACTAAAAAATTCATAAAAGTCAAAAAGCGGTTTTTCACTAATAAAAAAAATTGAGCACCAATCGAAAAAAGTTAAATGAGAAAGTTGTAGCTATTAAAAAAACCTATAGATTTGTATTTTTAAATATATCGATTGCTATATTACTTTTCGAGATATATCGAAAAACCGTCAAAAATTGACTTTTGTTTTTGCTGAATCTCCTCTTGCAAATTAACGTTTTGGAAGTTGTTACTTGCGGTAAATGTAGCCCTCGGCAAGCAAAAAAGTGCATTTTTTAAGATTAAAAAATATTAAAAATTTTTCGAGTTATACAGGTATCGATTTTTCGAAAAAAAGGTCATCTCGAGAATCGGCTCTTCTTCGACAAACAGATGTAGAGAAATGAATCAGGGCTCATTTTTTTCCATAAGAGTTGTACTTTCATGGTAAAAAAGAGTGCTAACGATTTTATTCATTTCAAGTATCCAAAAATGATTTTGAAAAAAGTAAAAATCTTTTGGTCGCGTTTTTCTTGAATATGTTTTCCGATTTTCATTTCTCGATAATGGTTATTACAGGAATCGATTGATGGCATTTTTACGCGAATTTAAAAAAACAACGTTGCTCTACGATCTTCTGGAGCCGAGCTTATATTTTCAATTAAAAAATACTGGTTCATTTTAGCCACTTCTGCATTTTTAATTATGCGTCAAACCGAAGTATTTGAGCGCGGCGCGAGCTAACTGTAGCGGGCGGCGGAGTGGGGGTAACGCTACTCGGCCGCTCCGAAAACTGAAATCGCGCGTTCAAAAGCGCTCTTACTTTAAAAATCTTTATTATCTCGACTTCTCGACCACGTATAAAAATCAATCACGTACAGTAATAACAGTTTCAAATATCCCGAATTGAAAAAATATTCAATATCAGCGGGATAATGACTATGCGCTCCTTAAATACCTTTTTTGTTATCCTTTTTAACTCACGATTTTTATTTTTTACGTAACGATTATCCATTTGTTATCCTTATTTTTGCGATGACTATCCTTCTTTACGTCATGGCTATCCTTATTTTTGCGACGATTATCCTTTTCTTACGTAACGATTATCCTTTTGTTATCCTTATTCACATCACGGTTATCCTTTTGTTATCTTTTTTTGCTACGATTATCCTTTTTTTTCTTGACGGCGTGACGCGTGCATTAGCGTGGTATTTTATTGTTTTTTTATACGGGATGCTGCCTACTCCTATTTCAAAGACAGTTCAGTCACACTCGAGATGCCTTCTTGCGAGTACTGTGTCAAAGTAACTGAATCAAAACTTCCCTCTTGCTAATGATTATATTGATTTCTCAAACGTAGTGGTTGTCCATAATGGTTTGATTAACAGTCATTGATATTTCGTCCAAACAGTAAAAACGAGTCTGTTATAGGTAACTCGCAAAAAACGGTTTTATAAGTTACGTACCTTTAGGAAGCATATGCGTGAACATCAACAACGTTAGACCTTTTCCTCCTGTTTTAAATATCCTTCTGATTATATTAAATTTTCAGGTAGAGTACAGGAGGCTGGATACATGGGCGTGTACAACGTGGAGTGGAATGCATATAGGAGTCAAGTATATGTACTATTGTCTATAATTAGAGTTGTGCTCACTATCAGTTATCCTTAGTCAGGGTTAGGTATGCTCACGATCAGTTATCCCGAGTTAAAATATGTTCTCCATTCCAAGACATTTATTAAGTCCTTTTCCCAAGGATAATCATAGTAAACTTTTAAGTAGTTCTTTATTTCTTCGTCTTAATTATTATTAATTACAAAAAGACGCAAAGCTCCACGTTTTCATTTGATACACTTTGTTTTCTTCTTCATTGGGGTAATAAGTTATATACCCAACGGAAAAAATCCTCGCAGTTCGTCTTGTTGCAGATTATCTCCAAGTGTAGAGTTCAGAGTACTATATTCTACGTTTCCAGACGAATATCGGATACCATGAACGTTTCGTTCTGTGTATCGTACTTGCTTCTAATTTGGTCTAGATAAACTAGGCGGGGCAAGATGGCGACGTGTTACATGGCGACACGTGGAGTTTAGTTTTATATGTAGAAACAACAATAAGGCGACTAGCACAAGTCGTCGGTTTTAGTGGAATGTACCATTATTCGTATGATATGTAGAATTTAATGTGTGGCGAGCCCTTATTGTAACACAAACTAGCAGCAACAAGACAACTTGACATAATGATATCTTGAAGCACAATGGCAAATACATTTTTCGTTACATTAATTTATAGTGATCTTAAGCCATAATACTTTTGAATGATTTTTGCGATAGTCTTCAGTACTAATGCAATTGTAGCAACTGTTATAAAGTAAATAAGCCCAGAGATTATATTCATATCTGTTTTCTCAGACATCTCGAAGAGTGCGTCTGCGTATACATCTTCATAATCAGAGCAGTTTAAAATAGGTAACAGTCTCTAGATATCGAAATCTCCAATCGACTTATCTTGAAACGTTATTCTCAACTTGTAGAATTTAAAATGTTCTGGAATTTTTTATGTAAAAACTTTCATCTTCCCACCATTAACTATAGTATGTCTCATCTGAGTTAACTGTATGTGGACCCGTATCACTCTCGCTAACATTTCTGTAGCACACATACATTTCGTGTACGTTGAGTATATCATGCACGTACAACACATTTTGTAGTATTGCAGTTAAAATTATGAAATTGGAATGTAAAACGGCCATCGTTGTTAAGCAACAGACGAATGAGCTACACGATGATTTGTAAAGTCTTAAAACTGCTCTTTTTTGTTATACCTGAAAAATAGAGGGAGAGAGGAAATAAAACAAACAAGGATAAGCAAGCGTATATTAAGCATATTAAAAATGAATGTAACTTATAAGGTAATTGGTACAATTCTTGTAGATGTAGGTCCATCCTTCGTTACAGAAAATCGATGTAGCTTCATAAATACATCATCCCACTTGTCTTGAATCTGCATTTTTTGAAACTGTTTATTCATTTTACACTGGTTGTCATATCGTACTATATCGGATTTTAATTGACGATTTTTTTCAAGATGTTTAACTAATAGTGGTTCGAGGATTTTGGAAGCCATATTAATTCTTCCCAGTACCTACGTCAAACTACAGTAGACGCAAAAGTCTACGTTTTCATTAGATACACTTGATTTTTAGATTTGTCGAAAGTAACTGTTTTCTTCTTCATTGGGGCAATAAGTTGTATACCCAACGGAAAAGATCCTCGAAGTTCCTCTTGTTGCATCTGACTGTTTTATTTGGATTCATATGATATGAACAACGGGGTACATCTACTTGAAAAAGCGGTGGGGGGTTATCCCACCAATTATTAAATTTTTCAACGTTTACTTACAACACCTGAGGCTCCTATTGCTCGCGTAAAACGATAGAGAATCATCATAGGAACACTTAAAATAGAAACCTGCACTAATTGTGTTATGCTTTTGATATTTTTTGGTTGACGTATGTTGTTGTTGATCAGTGAAAGGTTCTAGCATAGACTGAAAATCGCAGTATAAAACAAACGGTACTTTTTCCTTGTATCAATAGTTTTTGAATGATAAAGATTTCTCCCCCGGGAAGGTAATTTTACATTTATTAATTTTAGAGCAATCTTCAGTGTGACTATCTAATGCAGTTTCAGTACTAAAATAATTTAAGCAAATATCACAGATATATTTAGCATTCTTGTGTTTACTTAATTGACTCGAAACTAACCGCGATAAATTTTTAATCAAACAAAAATGGTATTTAATTTCTACGCTTTCGCTGCTACTTTTTTCCTTACGTTCATAAAAATAAACATTTTGAATTATTAAAAGATTAACGTGTCTCTCAAGTTTATTGTTGGTTAAACGAGCAGTTTCAACGTTATATTTATTCTTCCCGGTTAATTTTAATTGATAAACGTTAACCGAAATGTTATTAAGTTTCCCAAATTTAGTAATCTGCGAAATTTGCATTGGAAAATCAATTCCGTCTAAATTCAGAATAGTTGAGGGATGAGGATATGATGATGTTCTATTTGGATTTTTAATCTATCAACTGAGTAAAGTGCTGAAACAATAGACCAAGCGAAGCAGGCATCATCGTAATTTTTTACGTTAACACAAGCGTGCTTTTTAGCAATTACCTCGGGGAGCCTGATAAAGGAAGAGACCCCGTGACCCATTTCAAATTTGTTAATGTTAATTTCTAAACTAACAATTTTGTGTAACGCCCACCCACTGTCCCTTTCCTGGAACTCTTCTACTTTGTTTAAAATTTTATCCATAACATTTTCTTGAAACCAAACTTAGATCTGTACTCAAATCTATTGCAGCATTTTTTGTGTTAAAATATTTAAAATCTGAAATTGTTTCGTTTGAATTAGGTTTAGCTTTAATAAATTCTCCACAAAAAGCAGCGTTAACTTTTATGGTTGGATGGTGGTTCAGAATTCTGGATATTCTATTTTTAAATAGGAAAAATGCGTCATTCAAGAAAGCTTTAATGTCTTTATGTTTTAAATTTATAATTAAACCAGATCGTATGCGACTTGAAAATGCTGAATTTACGTCCTCCCAGCGTATTCGATGACTACGCTTATCTCTATGTCCCGCCCCTGTATGTTCTGAATTTGATTTTAATAAAATTTTGATTCGTTTTAAGTGACCGATATTAGTTTCCAGTTTTCGCTTAGTTCCAATTGAATCAAACGTTTTAAGAGCCCGAATAATCAACCGTATTTGACAACTTCTAAAACCTGGGTTAGTTTAGCAATAAAATTATCGGTTTCCTGAACAAGAGAGTCCATAATTAACAATTAAATGTAAAAATTAAAAGAGTGCAACTAATGTAAAACACTTTCTATTAGAAACACGATACAAAAAATATTTGGGGGCACTTACAGTTTTTTTTTTTCTATGTTGATTCAGGCTGTAGCAATGATAGCTCCACTATTTCAAAGTTTATGATGGGGTTTGGATGACTGCACTGCTGCAGCCCCTTGAATACCAAGCCGTACTTCCCAGGTGTAAAATTTTCAATATTAGCTTCGATTGCGTGAAGGCTTCTTTTTGGTAGGAAGACAGAGTTATCCCCCAAGTCTACTAAAGCGCTCCGTCCAAACTTTGTGGTAACAATTTTTATGTCCCAAATATGTGCAGGTGTGCCAACAGGTAGGTCCTGCAGTTTAATGTATGGTTTTCTGCAGATGGAAGAAACGTTGTTAATTGCATTAAGATCCATACTATAACAATAGGAAAGCTTGTATAACTAAAAGCTTGTTAAATGTAAAGAATGTTAGGTAAACTATTTAATTGCGTTAAGATCCAGATTATAACAATACAAAAGCTTGTAAAATGCAAAGAACTATTTAAATATATATATATATATATGACTTTACTTGTTAGGAGCACTAGATACAATTACTTGAACGAGATGTAGACGTTGTAAAGGCACAAACGCACAGAAACTACTGAAGAATTAGCTGTAGATGAAAGTGTAGTTGCTTCTACGAGGTATCGATGAAGACTGGCAAATGATAACTTTACACTTGTTTCAAGAACATAAAGTAAAATATGTACATACATCAAAATGCCTATCACAGAAAAACATCAAACATGTATATAATAAAACAAAACAAGAAAAAAATATATAATTATACAGATAGAAGAAAAGTATGTATATGTTTACGGAATCAGTCAATTCGGATTAATTGTATTAATAAAAATATTTACTTATTGTTTCCCGAGAATACATCGATGGTAATTAGTCTCTATAAGATTGTGGTAACCAACCCCTTTGGAGTAGAGACTAATTCGTTTACATTATTTAGCCTCTACGAGATTGTGGTAACCAACCCCTTTGGAGTAGAGAATATGTTTTTTTCACTTTCTGGTATGTTTTTATAATTTGTAAACTTCTTAATTTCCTCCTACGTTAGAAAGTACTTCGGAATGCATAATCGTTTATTTTCTGTCTCTCTCTGTCACCATGTTTTTGGCATCTATCTCTCTGTCTGATATAATATTGACTTATGTTAATAAGCAATGTACACATACTGAGATTTTTCTCATCCCGTGCCTCTTCTCTAGGTCCCGACATTGTACGTGTCGAATACACCGGACATCCAGACCATCGAAGAAGCAGCAAATTCTCGTGCACCATGTATGCAGGACAAGAACGTTCTATGGGATAAAAAGCGGCGGATACAGCACTACTCACGAATTATGATAACACTTAGATTTTAATTGGTTGTTATGTGTCAAGTAGGTAGTGCCGCTATATATTTAAGTATTATTCAATATACATTATTTGCTGATAACGCTTTCTACTGATAACAACACTGACGACGACGCGCATGTCGCTTATGAAATTCCTGCTCATGATTCTCAAAGTCGCTTATCATTCTAACGGACCATCGTCCGAGCTCCATTTGCTACGCCATCTATTGATAAGCGCTCGTCCGCGTTAGGAACTAATTGGAGAAAACGTTGTGTGGCGTACGTTTGTAACTACGCATGCGCTGACTGTTGACTCGTCGGATGCTAGTGCAGCCTGACATGCGGGGCGTCTAGCCCTAAGAGCGCTAGGTGGAGCTAGAGCTCACTCGACAGATAGATTGACGAGTGCAAACAGCTTCACCAAACAACGGCATGTGGCGTCGCATTTTTTCGGTGTATTTGAAAGAATTTGATATCTTCTATTTCAAAAACAGTAAAGTAGTTGTGTATACACATAAAATTAAAAAGTTAATAGTTTGAAAATTAAAATATTAAAGGGAAAAAATAGAAAGAAAAAAAGAAATAGAAAAAGGGAACAGAAAAACCCTTTAGAAAGATAGTTAAAAAATAATAGGAGAAAAACAAACACAATCTCCTTGGGGAAAAAAGCAGCTCTAAACTAAGTTTGAAAAGACCGCCATCGGAGACGACCCCACCTCCGTTATAGGGTGTCGGCGAGGTCTCACTGTTAGCGCTTATAACACTAGTATACACAGAACTACAAAATTTTCACCTTTTGATTTAACTTTTGGTCATACTGTCTCTAGAGATCCATTCGACCTTGTTACTTGCTCAGACTATGCTGATTCACATAGGCAATATATACGAAAACGTACACGAGTCACAAATGAGTGAAAAAGAAAAAATAATTTCTGCTCATGATAAAAAATTGACTCCTACTTACGAAATTGTAGAAATTCTACCAAACATAAAGCCAAAATAAAAAATTTAAAAAGTAGTAACGGTTCATTTCAAAGAATTAAAAACGAAATATTCCAGGTTTCTCATCCACACAACAGTAGCAACAAACACTTATCATCTTTATAATGGAAATCCCGGACTATTACCGATAACCTTATAGAACAGGAAAGGAAACATTTTGAAATTGATTAATTACTGGCGTGATTTTATTGTTGGAAAGTCTTGGGAATGATAATACAAGAGGCGTCTTATCAAATGGGCCATGAAAAAAGTATAGCGTCATTGTTTTTTATCAACAAATAGGTCAAAAATTCTTCATTTTTCGTTCTACGCGTTATTGTAAAAAAACTATTAATCTTAGCAAAAAATGTTCAATAGACGATTTGATCTAGAGAAACTCATCTTTAAAATGAGACTTTATAAGTTAAAATTGCTTCATAAACAAAAAAAATATTGCAAAATTAAACGATAAAAGTGCTTTTTCTTTAATTGTTAATAACTTTTTAAATAATTAATAAAATCTTACCAAACTTTCCCAAAATGTGAGTTTTTATATCCTTAAGAGATGTGCAAAAGATGGGCTTGATCGGTCAAATAGTATTATAACTATACAGGGTGATTCATTAACAATGGGAACATCGAAAGCTGAAGATACTACACGTGAAATAGTGACCATTGGCACAAACATGCCTTATCCAAAAGTTGATAGTTTCGAAAATATAGGGTGTTGAAAGTTAAAATTTTAAATCGTTTTTTTTTTGTGAAACTATACATTTTTAAGCGACAAATAAGATGGGAGCTGCAATTTCAGCGTTGCTCATAGATGGCGCCACAGACAACCAATTTTACCAAAAATTTAGTTAATAACTTTTTACCCTGTATGTTTAACATGAAACTTAATTCAAAACCTGAAAGAGCAATTATTTTTCCATTAATTATGTCCTCTTGTTTCATGTCCGTATCTCGATTCGTTTTCGAGAAAAATCGATTTAACGAACACTATGTTTTAATAATACGAGAAATTAAAACCGAAACAAAGTGTTTCTTCATGTTATTTTAACAAAAAATAACAATAAAATAAATGAAATACGTAATAATGATTTAAAAGAATTGTTTGAAAAGTCCACTGTTGACACTGATAGCTTTACACGTTTTCTGAGAAATCTTCGAGTTTGAAACAACATATTGGGATTGCGTTTGACTTTGTTGGCAGCAATTTATATTCTTTACCACAACTTCTGGGTGGCCAAGCAAAAATTCTTCCACGGCTTGAAGAAGTTCTACTTTATTTAAGAAGAGACATATGGTCATGCACGACGGAGCACCACCGCATTTTTCTCGGCCACTGCGTGTATATTTAGATGCAGTTTTTCCAAATCGATTGGCTATGTCAGCTTGGACACCCAGAATTCCGGACTTCCTCTTGATTTTTCTTTTTGATTTCGAATGAAAGATATAGTTTACAAAGAATCTATTGGTTCGCATGACGAGTTGTGGCAAAGAATACAAATTGCTGCCAGTAAAGTCAGAAGCAATGCCAATATGTTGTTTCAAACTCGAAGATCTTTCAGAAAACGTTGTGTAAAGCTATCAGTGAATTTCTCGTATTAGGTATCAAAACATAGTGTTCGTTAAATCGATTTTTCTCGAAAATGGATCGAGATCCCGAAATAAAACAGGAATACATAATTAATGGAAAAATTATTGGTTTTCAGATTTTGAATCAAGTTTCATGTTAGACATACAGGGTAAAAAGTTATTAACTAAATTTTCGGTAAAATTGGTCGTAAGTGGCGCCCTCTATAAGCAACGCTGAAATTGCAACGCGCATCTTATTCATCGCTTAAAAAAATATAGTTTCACAAATTTTTAAGTTCCTAACCTTCATATTTTCAGAATAATCGCAAAAAACTGATTTAAAATTTTAACTTTCAACACCCTGTATTTCCGAAACAATCAACTTTCGGATAAGGCATGTTTGCGCCTATGGTCACCATTTCACGTGTAGTATGTTCAGCTTTCGATTTTCCCATTGTTAATGAATCACCCTGTATATAAAATGTGTATAAAATTATTACAATGAAAACTAGTACGACTAAATCCCAAAATCAATATTAGAAGAAAAACAGGATTAATCAATGGTTTAGATTCAACAATAAAATGTTTAACAGGTAATTTAGATCAAAATGATGCTGAAAAATTTGATCAACAAATAAATATGCTTCAGCAAAATCAAAATAAATTTAAAGCGATCTGATCAATCACTAATGAATATTTCAATAAATAATTTTAATGAGATTAGTAAAAATCTCACAATCAACTCATGCTATTTTCAAGAATTATTGAGAACTGTTAAAAAAAAATAAAATTTAATGGAAACAGATAACTTATTGGTACATCAAATATTTTCATTCGAAATAATTTATAATACTTTGGAAAAAATAGAAACCCTCACAAGTTTTGCTAAGTTAAATACCCTTCATAATTCAATAATTGATCCCAATATATTTTTACAAGAAATTTAAATCTATAAAAAAACATTATTTGAAATCACCTTTTTAAAGTCAAACTGAAAATATTCTAAAATTCGAAAACATAATTACTACATGTGCTATGCGAATGCACTGCCGTCTCATCAAGAGAATCCCTAAAATTCCAGATTCCAGACTATCACTTAAAAGAACTGATAGTAGTATATGGTTAGATTTAAGTGGAAAGAAATTGTGGGTAGCTACACGTCATTTTTTATAATAGTAAATTTTATTATTCAAAAACCATGGTAAAATTTTAAGACAAAAAAGTTTCTAAATAGAAAGGGTTATGCAAGATATACTTGTTGATTTCTTCAAGAAATAAAAAAAAGACGAATAGCATAAATTTGTGAGCATCTTGTAGAGCACCAAAGAAATGAAGAATATATTCAGGAAATAGAATTTTATTAGTACGCCGCGCCAGTGCAAAAATTCGTTTCTCTAAAGCATGGTCAAATTTGAATCAACTTTTTTTTTAGTAAAACACAATTTATTCGAAATTACCAAATATATTTACTGAATATTAAAGTAGACATGTTGCAGTTAATAATGGAAAAGAAAGTTAGATAAGTAAGCACCTCTTGCAGCTCTACAAGCCTTCAATCTTTTAACATTTTCCATCACGTCTTCGCATAATAGTGGTTCAATTTGA